AGGAAATTATTGAGAACAATTACCCAAGGCCCAACCCACACCACCTGGTCCAAGTGAGGTTCCATCCCAAAACCAATTGGTAATGGGTGGAGTAGCTCACTTGGGTTAGATGATGGATTTATTTTCTTCCCACAACAGATGTGGGACTTGTTTGTCCCAACATTGTAAAATGCCTTGGTCATGTTTTTCAGGCTTTGTCCTTTGCTGAAGGCAATTCTGTCCCGCCGAAGTACCCTGTCTGTGCTAATTTTTTCAGTCGTTGCCTAGAAGAATAAGTCTCGACTTGGGACGTAAGTCTTATCCCATGAAATATTTTGTAAATTAGATATTGAATATTCTCCGTTTTCATTGCTTTTCTCTTGTTATTCTCTCCTAATAGTGACAAAATTGAACAATTTTCAACACGGGTTATGCAATTAGCTATGCTTTTAGAACAAATGATTCAACATATTCTACAGTAAAAATCGTTTGATTCTCGTTGACATCTACTTATCAAAATTTATCTTATCTAAATCTCTAAACAAATATAATGAATTCAATCTACGTGTAACACAAGTAAACAAATTATTAATGTAACTAATAATTTAAATATATATAAATAGTTGTCAAATGAAAGTCAAGAAAAATCTAGAATTTGGAGTCATGGAGGCTTCTTTCTTATTGTTCCTCTTTGGCAATCTGCAATCCGAAAATTCATTACCTACTTTGTTACAATTGAAGCAATTTCCTTAAAATTTCTTCTTGAAAACTCCTCATTTCGGTCCTGACTTAGCCCATTTGTCAGACTTGTTTTTGTTGATCTTAGAATTTTGACCATGTTCCATAATATTTGCCACACTGTTAGATCGAACACTTACTTTTTAGAACTTGTGTTGTATTCTTCGATTTGAAGTCTAACAATCAGTTTTTTAAAGATCGTCTTCTTTCGCTTTCGCTTAAGGAAATTTTTGAAATCTTTCCACGGTTGAGGTAGCTTTTCAATGATTGCCGCCACTTCACTCAAGACCATCCACTCAGCATGAATCTCATGTAAGATCACTGAATGTTTTGTACTTAATTGATCACTATTTCTTAGTCCATCATCTTATAATCTAGGAAGTGGTCCATAATAAATTCCTCTGCCTCAACATCCTTAATTTTACATTTTCAGACTCCACAATTTCCTAGCCACTCTCATTGTACTATACACTGCACAAAGAATTGGTTAAAATGTTCATGATATAATTTTGACCCAAGAAATCGGAATGTTTTCAAGTACCAACCACGCTGCATAGCTTGTAGATCTTTCTCACCATCTTTTAGTGTTGGAGCATCAACAATCAAGGATGTTGCAAGCTTCAAGGTAGTGAGATAAAGCAACATCTTCTGCTGTCACCTTTTGAAATTCTACTTAGTAAATTTCTGTTTTTTCC